CCTATAGTTATTTCATCAGTTTCATTGTCTCCTGAATTTGTTGAAAGTAACTTATCTGATTTTGAAACTAAACGCCTTTCCTTGAAACAAAAATATGAATGAATTGAACAATCGTGAACTAATCTCAATATTCGTTTGTGGTACCTTCCCTTTCTTTATTTCAATTACTACAAGTTAGAGGAATTCTCATTGAACTGCATTCTAATTTCTGAACAAAAATACATATAGTTTATATAATAATCATAATTTCATTCTGAGCCACATTTGTCGTTTATAAGAAATGGTAGCGGCTCCATTATAGAACCTTGAGACACCCCAGAAGTTATGATTCTCGATGTGAAACATCTTGAAATTTGGGTCTTCAATTTATATTGTGGGAAGAAAATATGAACAAACATACGTTTTACCGAAACTATCCATCAACGTGACCTTATCCATTTTCCACTGGGTTAGACCAGAAGAAAGCCACCCACTGTAGGCTGTATAGAGGATTTCCACTTTGGTGAGCTGGGAAAGAATAGGGTGAGGAACTAGAATCCTCGATATTGATTGGCCCAGTTTCATTTCTTCATCGTCTTTCCTAAAAAAATACCGGATATGAACGTATATTCAATTCATTTTTGTTGAGACAATTATTTTGAATATTTTTTTATCTGACTGATTATTTATACCTTTTTCTTTTGAGATGTTCAATTACCTGGTCATAGTGAAAGTTTCGTTCAAGCCATTCTCTCCGATGAGCGTTATTTGAATTTTTCCGTAGCTTTTCACTGGGATAGGGCTGGAGGTGGTTTCAAGTTTCACATGGTATTGATGCGCTGGAAAACAAAGTGCAAATTACCGTCATCGCTTTCGTAAAACGGTCTGACGAAATAGTTTTACCACAGAAAGGCTCCTCATCTCTGGTGATGAGGTAGAGTTGTCCTCGTCCTTTGGATCTGTCCGCATAATAACCCATATTCCCGCATTTCCTGAAATATATGTTAATGGTGAAAGAAGAGTCTTGTATTCAATGTTTTACAGCTAGAAATAGGGGCGCATATTAGGCAATAGAATTGATGTGGGAAAGAAGAAGTTGTATGGCCTCATTTCTTTGAAGGCGGTTGACAATATTTCGTGGTGTATTTCACCAGTTCAGACTTCCATTGTCTAATATGATATGAATGGATATGGAATTCCTGAAAAAATCTGTAATGAAGAACGAAGAGCTCTGAACGGGCTACGTGAAGATGACACCATCAAGATCTCACCTGTAGATGAGGGAAGATACGTTGTGATGGGTACTGATCTCTATGAACAGAAGATCGAAGAGGTGCTTCAGAAAGGAAAATACACGAAGATCGTAAGGGACCCTAATCCATCAATTGAAAGGAAGTTGTACCAGACGTTGAAAAAATACCAAGTCTATTTTTCGGAAAGGGAGATGTTCCGCTCAGACCGATCATTAGCTCCAAAGATTCAGCCACTCAGAACTTGTTCAGATTTCCATCTCTAATAATCAAACCACTGCAAGGAAAAACATCATCTTTTATGAAAAAATTTAGGCATTTTGTTGAACTACTAGGGACAATTGAAGTCAAAGATCAGGATCAATTGATCAGTTTTGACGTGGAAAGTCTCTACACCAAAGTTCCTGTCGAAGAAGCACTTCAAATCATACCGAAAGATAGAACAAGCTTACCAATACAAGTAATCATGGAATTACTAGGATGCTGTGTACGAAACTGTTATTTCCAACGAATTCTTTATGCAAGATGATGGACCGCCAATGGGATCGCCACTTTCACCGGTTATAGCTAATACATATATGATGTGGTTAGAAACTCTGGCCATTGAAGGAGCCTCGAGTCTGATTGAGGTACATAATATGGAACCATGGAAATGCAGAACTAGATACTTTCCTGAAGCACATCAACAACGTAAGTCCTTCCATCACTTTCACAATGGAGAAGGAAGTCCACAACGAATTGCCTTTCTTAGATGTATTGGTGAAGAGGACCGACACTAAATGGGAAACATCTGTATATCGAAAACCCACTCACACAGGACAGTATCTGAACCAGAAATCCAACCACCATCAATCGACTAAGAGAGGAATCATCAAGACCCTACTGGACCGTGCTTTTGGGCTCTGTAATACAAAGGAAGGTCTCGAAAAGGAACTAGGGATCATCAAAAATGACCTTCAAGGTTACTCCTTTAACTAAAAGACAGCAAGAGCTCCACCAGGAAGAGAAGCCACCGCCACAATTGTCGGGAAGAATAAGAAGGATTGGGTTCAAGTATAACATCAGAACATGCTTCAGATCTGGAATTACTATCCATAGCAGCCTCATGAAATGTCTTTACTGGATGCCATGCGAGTGCAGAGAATCATACATCGGGAAATGGTCATTGAATGTTCGCATTGCCGAGCACAAGGAACACACACACAGCGAGGAGAAACCAGCAAATCAGGAATAGCAGAGTATGTCTGGATTCATCAACATAACATCAAGTCTTCCAAAATAATTGTTTTCAGGAAACTAGAAAGTAGAAAATTACGAAACAGTTGTAGAAGAACTAGTTGAAAACTACTGCACTCAGATTTGAGTTTTTTCCCAGAAAATTTGAGTGCTGTCAGTGACAAACAAGGGGAAAGGTTCCACCAAGACATAATGACAATGGAGCAACGTTACCAAGGCAGATGGGATGCAGCAATGATGGGGGATTATTTTTGGTTCCTTATGAGGAAAAACAATGGAACATATGAACGGAAGTCAACATTTCCAAAAAGGTTTTGCACAAAATACTTCATTTTAATGTTTTTTCAAGTATATTGTAAATAAAGTTTCTTTTCCTCAAAATATATTGTTTCATTCTTGTTTTGATCTTATATTTCCCTATAATATATGAGCAATTTTGTATAAAATGAAAATAATTATAACTCGAAATATTTACGTGATGGAAACTTTTGTATGTTTGAATCGCAGTCAGCATGCTTCAAACTCTCATGTATAGCCATTGTAATATTAGTTGCAATTTGTTTTTTCTTATTTGTTGGCTAGTGAGTTTATTGTATAAGTTTGAAAATGTTCGTGTAGGACGAAACTGCAGTAATGTTAGTTACAAATTAAAGTGGTAAAGAACATAGAAAGTTTCATTTCTCTTTTCTTCATTATAATTTTCTACCAGGAAAAAACGGCTAAATCTATCAATTTGAATCATTTAGCATTTTGGAAGTAGATATAAAATACCAAGGAAATAAAACTGTTGCAGCTTCATGGAATTTTAAAACAATTTGCCGGTTGAGGAGTAATCTGCCAAATTCTGCCAATAATGAGGACTTCATTGCCTTTGATAGAGCCACATCTCGCAGCGGTTATCCCTGTAATCCCAATTATGCCAAACAATGAAGTCAGACATCGAAACGAGAAGCGAATTGAGAATTTATGAGTTTGCAATTCAGAGCGGTTACCAGACACCCGAAACAAATTTGACTGCTGCGAATTGGTGTGGCAGAAAGGCTTTATGAATTCATGTCAGGAAACCGTAGCACACTCCGTTTACATCAATATTCAAAACGAAGCCACCGACATTTTACAGACAATTCGCAAAAAATTCCCAGTTGATTTGGCTCAGCGCGAAGTGAATTGAATGCCGCGTTTCCAGAAAAAGAAGTTGAAGGATGTGGTACTCAAATATATAGGATATTGAGTTGCAGATTAGTATTCAGGACTCGAGGTATTTTCTTCGATATGCCAACGTACCATACATAAGTACAAATAAACTTCAATGGGTGGTTTGTTAAGATATATTTCAAGATATTCTATCACTTGAATTGAGTACTGAGTTTTCAAGGGAGAAGGAAATATAAAGAGCAGATAGTTGTTGGCTCACAGATGGATCAAAAATACCTTCCGGTTCTGGTGCAGGTGTTTTCAGTCGCAGACCCAGGACAAAGATATTAACCTATCAAGAAACCTATGAGACTGTATTTCAAGCGGAAGTTCAAGCATTTCAATTGTTGGCGCAGAGATTGGGAGAATCCAACCTCACACATACAAGTCAAGAAACATATTTTCGGACATTCAAGCGGTGTTGAAAGCTCTTGGCTCCTACCGAGCAATGTCTAAACTGGTGTGAAATTGCTAAAAACGACTCTCCCCGATAGAAAGACACAACAGATTGTATCTGATCTTGATTCTTGGCCATACTGGCCTAAAAGACCATAAATTATAATCAAGGGTTGCCTTGGAAAACGATTGCAGCATTTATTAAACAACTTGACAGTTGTTGTCAACTTTATAAGCTTTCAATTTATAATTGTTATGAAAAGTGTGTTTAGTGGTTATTTTTCGAACCATTNAATAATTTGAATCACGTTCGGACTAAATTAGCTCCTCAATGTTATGAATAGTATTGCTTTATTACAACAAAATTAGGTGAAGGATATTTGAGATATTCACGAATAACTTCATTTTTATTTTAACAACCTGTATCTTGAGAACGAAGGATTTGCAGACCCATGTTTACATGAACATTTCGTCTCCAAATTACCTGAAGAATTGTCTGTTGAATTTAAGGTACATACGTGATCAACACCCTGTATATCAACGAGTTTGGAACCAAATATGTTTTTGGAATTGGTAGATTCAGTTTATATGACCGCCTGTAATCGATATATTGGTCAAATCATTAATGTATAAAAGAAACAGTATGGGACCTAACACGGAGCCTTGAGGTACTCCACAATTTATCTCTCCAACGTCCGAGTTAGATGACGTTCTTACAAATTGTTTTCTGTCAGAAAGGTATGAACTAATGCAAATATGACTGTTGTCCCTAAAACCATCTTATGAGTTTCCGAAGCAATATACTGTGATTGACACAGTCAAAAGCTTTGGATGAGTCACAAAGCACTGCTGCAGTGACTTCCTCGCTGTTGATTTCATTATAGATCAATTGCAATACCGTTGATATAGCTTCACTTATACTCTTAAAATTCTGAAAGCCATACTGATGTGTACTCAATATCTTATTACTGGTCAAAAATTCCTTAATTCTTTTTTTTACCAGTTTTTCAATAATTTTTGCTAAGGTAGGGATGAGCGATGCAGGCCTGAAGTTTGCTGGATCTTCATTGTTGCCGTCTTTATGGAGAGGAATAACAGCCGAGGTTTTGAGAATTGAAGGAAATGTTCCTTGCTCGAAGGAGTTGTTAATCAGTTCAACAAGTATATTGAGCGCAGTCTCAGGAAGACTTTCGGGAATTTTAATAGGAATATCATCAAAGCCAGATGCTTTCTTATTTTTTATGTTTCCTATCACTTCTTTCATACTGATGTGGTGTAATGAAAAGGTACTGTCTACATAGATATCACTGAGATATTCTAGGGGATCAATCTCTCAGCGATCTTGGGAACAGAGAAAAATCGCAGGGAGCCAAATCTGGTGAATACGGTGGCTGGGGCATGATTACGGTGTTGTTTTTGGCCACAAAATCTCGAACAACTAATGACGAAAGTGCACTATCGTGATTCAAAAGCTATCAATTGTTTTTCCAAAATACCGGACGTTCTCTTCATATTGCTCCTCGCAAGCGGCACATAACCTCAAGATAATGATTTTATAAACTACAACTTGTGAATTGATCACCACAAACTACATTGAAAAAATATATATCACGACGAAAATCGTCTCTTACCGTTCATCAGTACATGGAAAACATTTTCCATCAAGAAACTCCTCGTAGGAATCGCAAGGGAAGGCTGGAAAATGGCATCTTGGAGATACTGAGTCTATGAAGAACTTGTATGCGCGTCTATGGTTGCATAAGGAACGACCTTCAACTGGCGATGCTGAAACATAATATTTACGTAAGTGAAAGTGATGTTATAGAAGTTTTTCGTTACTGTTTAGTACTTTTGGTGAAGTAATTGATATTACTAGAGTTTAATCCCAGCACAAAAACGTTATCACTATTACCACCCCAAGTGCTCATTTTCAAGAGGAATATTAAACTAGGTTAGGTTAGGTTAGGTCCAAAGTGAGTGGGTCTTTTCGACCCTCCACCGCAACACGCAAGGGTTTATTGTGGTTCACACCTATTCACACTCGACCAAATCAACCCAGCTTCTGAACGAAGCCGATTAGTTTGTATGGTGAGTGATCTTTCAGGTCAGATGGTTAGAGTACGGCTCTGCCGAACTCTAAAAACCTGATTCGGTCCCCAGTGGGGCAGGCACAAAGTATATGCCTGCTGTTTCATCATTTTCCAAACAGGGGCGACACACACTGTTTTTCTGCAAGTTGATATCTCTGTCCTGGGTCTGCGACTGAAACCACCTGCACCAGAACCTGAAGGTGTTTTTGAGCCATCTGTGAATCAACAACTCTCTGCTCTTAATATTTCCTTCTCCCGGAGGGTCTAGTCCTCTAGTCCTAGTACTTGGGAACAGTACTTTATAAGGCAGTTCGTAGTTGACAGTTGGAGACACAAAGTCAGAGGTCATTTCCTGAATGCTGTGACTTCCAGTGTCAACCGTCTGTTGCCCTCTGCATTAAATTGATTTGTGCAATTGGCAATTTGCAATCCATCTAGCCTCTTTCTCCAGAAAACTGTGGAGAGGAGGTACATCTAGAAGAACCTCTATGGCCGCTAACGGTGTGGTACTGATGGCCAGACAAGCCTGTCTCTGTAAGCCAGAGAGATTCACCTGGGCCGTTCTCTGTAAAGCCTTCGGTCACCAGGCTATTGCACCATAAGTGATCATTGGTCAGACTGCCATCACATAAATCCAATAGATTCGTTTGTGACCTAAACCCCAAGTGTTACCACTAAACCCTTCGACATGTCCATAGGAACAGTCTGGCTTTGTGTAAAACTTTTTCCAAGTGAGCGGTAGAGGTGAGTTCCTCATCTAGTTTTTCACTGAGGGAATGGTTTTGTTGAAAAGCATAATGGGCGACTGCTGATTTTTCTGGTCTTCCATATTTTAGGTGTGTCAAATGTTCCTTATATCTAATTTTGATATGTGTTCTCGCCCGTCCATATTATTTTGAATCGCAGTCGTTATACGACTTGTTGGCACCTTCAAATGATAACCTTGAAGGTGCTTGTTAGGTCATAGATGTGAACTGAGAAGTATTTTCGAACATTCCAACTGTGGCGCCCCCCCGTGGGGATAAAAGTGGCGCTTTTATATATGGAAATTGCCTTTTCATCACTGTTTCCCCGTAATCCTATATTTTCGGAGGCTGAAATTTTGTATGTAGATTCGTTTTATGTTGTAGATGTGCAATAAAAAAAATGGAATATTCCAACTGAGGCACCTGCCGCGGGAAAAAAAGACGCGTTAATAAAATAAAGTTATCACTTCATCACTGTTTTTATTTACCGGTATATTCCCAGGTACTGAAATTTTGTGTGCACCAAGGTTCATTTTATATCGTTAATATGCAAAGAAGAAAGGCTTTCTAAGTATTTCAACTGGGGCGCCAGCCGCTAGAGAAAAATGCGCGTCCATAAAACAAAATTATCTTTCAATTACTGTTCCTACATGCCCTTTAATTCCTGGTGGGTGAATTCATATTCAGTATCAGAATTGCACCCCTGCGGAGCCGGGGAGGTTCGCTAGTAAATCGATATATGAGAATTTGCATCGCTTAAAGATCAAGGATCCCATTCTAGGAATGTAGTATTTTCTGTGAGGGCATCTTGAACATGGTTAAGGTATATATTTCTATGTAATGTAGAGTGGGTTTTGTTATAATTTATTGTAATTATTATTGTTTATGATTTTGAAGAAAGAGAATTTTGATTCTGTTTGACTTTTACTTGTTATTATTGGTTTCAAAGTTGTTTATTACTTGATTGTGTATAGTAAAAATTTCTTACCCACTGGATTTTCCTTTCCTGTGATTGAAATCCTCCAAGTGCTGAGTTTGTGATGGGATTTATCTTATAAAGGTTAGTTTTTATTTTAACTCGATTCAGTTACCATTATTCGATATAATTATATAATATTGACTAACTTTCTAGCAAATTCAATTGAATTTTTGTAAACAATAATTTTACGTGGTGTCCACTTTTGATGACATTCTGGAACATTTTATCTTCAATCGAGGACAACCTGCCTGGTACTGACGATGCCCAATAGGCTGAAACAGCTGTCTACCGGTGGCTCTTGAATTGAAGTCAATATGGGAATGATCAAAATAGTACTTATCTATTTATATTTTGATTTTCATGTAATTATTTTCCAGCAGCTTGACTGCATTAACCTTTCTCGATACAAAATATTCGAATTAAATCAAACAGTTCAAACATTTTTCAAAGAACTCGAAAATTCAAATAGAAGGCAGTAACACCTCGCTTTTCTCATCTTTATCTGTATCAATTTGCCAACTACAAAATTTTTTGAGTTTGATGGAGGTCGCTTCTCCTGCCATCAAACTTTTATAAAAATCTTTGCAATTCTGAATGACTGAATGCCTATTTTGGTTATCTGTCCTTTCAGTAATGCTTCCGATTCCCAATAAAGATAAAACGTTTACGATTCCTTGTACTCACTGCAATATTCAGGAACGGACGGAAACCGTACCTTTTTCCAGAAAAAACCCTTGGAAATGCCCCCTTCCATGAAGGGATAAAATGTTAAGATCAACAAGGTGGAAAAAGGAAAATTTATTACCGGACGACAAGAGCTGATGTGCTAAAGTACATGCCACAGGAAAAAGTCTATTTAAAAGTCGGGAGTAGTCATATACAGAGTGATACAGAAAGTAATGGAATAATGTATACTCAAAGGACAAGTATCGAACAAGTAACGGGAGTCGATAGTCAGGTTAGCGATTCAAAAATTATATGGGTCATATAATTTTTCGATACCATTTTTATGGTACAGTCTCAAAATGGCCTTCAGTTTCAACTGTAACCTTTTCTTCGGAGCTCAATTCTTTCTTTCGAGCGTTCTCTTGAGGTCTAAGAACAGAAAAAACTCGCTGGGGGACAGATCTGGAAAATACGGTGGATGCGGAATCAATTCGAAGCTCAATTCATTAAATTTTGCTATAGTTTCAATTGATGTGTGACACAGTGTCATGTTTTAATGGAATATCAATTCATTTCTCTACAAAAGGGTTTTTTTTTTCGCGATTTCGTCCTTCGAACGCTCCAATAACGCTATGTAATAGTGTAAAAGCCGATCAAACGTGAAGGTGATAATAGTTTTCTAGATTATCGGGATGTTGTGCACTCTGAATTCGTGTCCGAAGATGATACTGTGAATCAAAATGTTATCTGAGCATCACACGGCGAATGAGGAAGCAAATTCGTTGAGAAAGGCCAGATATCTGGGAAGAAAACTCATGAATTCTGCATCAAATAACAGCCATCGTATTCACCGGATATGGCTCCGGCTGAATTTTCTTTTTCCAAAACTCAAATTACCACTTTGAGGCACTATTTCCAGTCGATAGTTGACATGGAAAAGAATACGTAGCATGTATCAGAAAATAGGTTTTAAAAATGTTTTGGTGATTGGGTTGTTTGTTGACGTAAGTGTATCATTTCGCAAAAGGACCTACTACAATGAATTTGGATGGATGGTACATATTTTGCGTTTCATCGATCGATTCCCAATTCCTTTTTCACACAGTAGTAACGTCAATAAATTTGGATGGATGGTACATATATTGCGTTTCATCGATCGTTTCAAAATTTTTTTTTACACGTCAGTAGGCAGTAATAATCTCAAAGTTATGAGCCAGTGATTCAGGTGCGAAGTCTACGTTATTTTGGCGGATTTCATTAGCGTCAAACCAAAATAATTCAGCTCGGAATTATGAATGAAAAGGAATGTTTTGATTACTTCTGATCTGTTACCACAGATTTGTCAACAACTGGTTTTTTATTGAAACTTCGATCAGGGAATATAAGGAAAATGGATTTTTATAAGATATATAAAACATATACCTCATCTAAGTGGATGAGCCGATATGTAGAGGACACCTTTATCTTCCAACGTTTTGAAAACCATTAGAACTTCTAACTCTCACTACTGCGCCACTAAACTCATCAATAAATCTTGGAGAATATGTTCGGAGAATCTGATATTGACAAGTGCATGAAAGAGAGGGTATCTGTTTCGTCCTAAGATTGTGAACGTTATTTGGGAGTTGAACCAAACAAGTTTTGAGCTCCTCAAATATAATTCATGGCTTTTCTATAACCTACTAATATCAGCCATCATCGGCTTCACTTTTGCTTTCCATAATCTGACTGAAAATTGTAAGACTGACTGAAATTTCTAGTTGAAGAGCCAATTTTTTACAGAAACATCATAGGAAATGTCTACAGAAAGCATTTTTGAGCGGAAGAAAACCCACATGGCATTACGAAATTCACCATCGAGAGCTGTTATCTGTTAAAGTGTAGCCTGGAATCACTGGCAATCATTCGATTGGGCCTTATTACTTATCAGCTAGATTTAAAAATACTGAGAGACTCACACCAAATGATATCACTAACAGCACCAACAAACAAATGACTGCATCCTTTTTGCATTCTCCCTCCGTTAGGATAAAAGTCAACGTGGCCCATTGGTTGAGAGGATCCCAAGCCGCCTAGGATCAGATTCTCGCCGTTGCTGTGGATGACGTCAACGAAATCTGCATCCGTTTGATCCAAACGAGCCCTGGGGTCTTGAGATTCGAACAAGGGGCCTGCTGGATCTAACCCTGAAATGAAAAAAGGTGTAAATCATTTGATCCCTTGATCTTGTGAGAACTCAATGCCTATTGAAAGAAGCGTGAAGTTTTGCACCGCATCCTTTGGGAATCTGCTACATTATCCGTTCCTGAGAGTTTCATAAACAAGAGCATTCAGATGACTCCATGAATAGGAATCCAGAGGATTTTTATCAGGAATGCGAGCTGGCCAATTTTGAGGTCCCGCACGTCCAATCCAGCGATTAGGGTGGGTGATGTCGAGATACTACCGAGCAAGAACACTAAAATGAGCTGTAGCTTCGTCGTGCATAAACCACATGTTGTCTCTCACAAGTACCGGCACTTCTTCGAACGAAATAGGTGGATGATCTTGCAAAAAGTCTGAGTAGGATTCACCTGTTGATCTTGCAGGTGGAAAAAATGTTTCAATTAGGTAGTCACCAACATATCCGGATGTTCCTTCTGCAAAAAGGCCGGTTCTTCATAGAGAAGGTTTACCAGTTCCAACACCCTCCTCGGCAAATTGGAAGGAAGATTTGGAAATATATATAATGACCAGGCAGGTTCCCATGATGTGCCAGAAAAAGACGGTTCTTATTTTTCAGAGAGTGAAGGAAGAACAACAGCCCATTCAATCGAACAACCTGAATGAAATTACCTATTCCGGGACCTCCACTTGTCCAAAGAGAATGCTGAACTATTAAGACCTGGATTACAACAATGAAATTTACTAGCCACTAAAAACGAAGTGATAATATTTAGAAAGCATAACCATGAGCTATCCTAGTTTTTTACTGAGCAGGATAAAATGTGTGTTTGTGTAAATCCAAATGGTGTGATGGAAAAATTAGGATTTGCACATAACCCGGACGTTCATTTATAGATTCGTCTAAAAGAAGTTTGAAAGCCGCCCTGCTCCATAATGGTAACAATTGTTCTGAATTCGTATAAATTTCTTGAGGTTCATTGGCGGTAGATTCGGATACATTTCATTGAACTTTCTACATGTTCTGCTGATAATTTTAAACCCCTCCATTTCCAGAAGAAAGGTTTGAAATTTAACCTGTTGGAGAATTCAAAAATTCTCAACATCTCATAGTGAAAATCATACAATAAACTGTTTTGATTAGTATTTTGAAATGGATTTTCATCAAGTTCTATTCCATTAAAGATGAATATTTTCAGTTCATTAAAAATCTTTTCCCAATTTTTCTAGACGTCGCCCTAATTCAACACGACATTGTGGGTCATCTATACACAATGGCGCAATTGCCATTCCAGTCTCTGGATAAAGAAATTTTTCAATCAACAGCACAATAATCGTTGAATAAGTCGCGCAGAATTATAGTTGTGGACACCTTGATCTCCAAATCTGAAGTCTCGATTTTTCCATAGGGGGAGATTTTGAGAAACCCTATCAAAGCATCCCAGGAGGAGTTGATGAACCTATAATAACTCGTAGGACAGAAATACTCCAGAATTTTTTGGGGAATACGAAACCCTATAGAGAGACGAGCTGAAGCATCCATAATAGCAGGTGGTGGTTACTTTCATTAGGCCACGCTAAATTATTTTCGATTTTGTTCATTTACATATGTACATTGAATGAATAACTTATTTTTACCAATACATTGACCATGCATGAACATCTTCTTCATTTCTTCACGAAAATCTTATGTCAAACTCTTTCAAGATTCCAACACCCTGTAGCTCAGAAATTAAGGTGTTTTGAAAATTGCTTTATTGAAATTTTCCTTCATGAAATCAACTAAAGATCACTCTTGGAGATCAGCATCACACTCTGAGATGTGTTACCGTTATTCATCACCTCGACACGTCGTGTTTCGATCACCAAGTGATTATCTTCAAGAGGGAGATTGAACTAAATATACTAACAATGTGTATTGGTGCTATAGAACTGAGATGTATTCATCTTTCGTCATTTTCAAAAGTCAATCTACAATACCCCTCGAAAATCAATTCCTGTATTGTACGTTTTTTTTTGAACCTCTCATGTGTGAGAGGAAAAGTCAAAAGATGATGCACCAGAAAATTCAGCTCAGCACGTTTGTGTTGTCCACAGTGATGTGAACTGTCAGGAATATACCCCTACTTGCTTGTTTCCTTCCTGAATCCATCGTATTTTAGGCCTCCATATTGGCTCCTCATTACTAAAACGTCAAGAAATGGAAGTTGTCCTTTATTTTCTAACTCATACGTGAACTATATTGATGGATATCTGTTATTTAAAAAGTAAACAGATTCTTTGTTATCGAATATCGCGAAAACATCATCCACATACCTTAGCCATACCCTTGGAAAATACTGTTACTTTTCTTTGGTTTCCATTTCGAATCTGCTCATGAACAGGTTTGCCAGGTAGGTGGACAAGGGGTTACCCATAGCCGTTCCCTTCTGTTGTTCATAAAAACAACCGTCTGCCTAGAAACGGTTTTGTTTCATAAACAAATTAGTGAGAGAAACGATTTCATCAATTTTTTTATTATTGAAATTATTTTTCTCTGGTAATTTGCTGAGGTATTGTAAGGTCTGTGGAATTGGGACGCTAGGAAATAAGGAACTAACATCAAAGGAAATCAAAATCTCACCTCCTTGCAGAACGATGTTTTTTGTGTGTTGTATGAACTCTAAGGGGTTTTTGATACTGAAACCTGGTACTACATCAAAGGTTCCAACCAGTGCATCACCAGTCAATTAATATTACCGACAAATTACCTAATCCAGGTAAAGGTATTAGCACTCCGAACTAACTGACACAGCATATTTATGCGTTAAGAAACTGTAATAATCAGTCATCCAATATCAATCCAGGATGTATAAAACTCTGTCAATAATAAATTCAGTTCGAATACTCTACTCATCGATTAGTCTTTAAAAATACTGAGAGACTCACACCAAATGATATCACTAACAGCACCAACAAACAAATGACTGCATCCTTTTTGCATTCTCCCTCCGTTAGGATAAAAGTCAACGTGACCCATTGGTTGAGAAGATCCCAAGCCGCCTAGGATCAGATTCTCGCCGTTGCTGTGGATGACGTCAACGAAATCTGCATCCGTTTGATCCAAACGAGCCCTGGGGTCTTGAGATTCGAACAAGGGGCCTGCTGGATCTAACCCTGAAATGAAAAAAGGTGTAAATCATTTGATCCCTTGATCTTGTGAGAACTCAATGCCTATTGAAAGAAGCGTGAAGTTTTGCACCGCATCCTTTGGGAATCTGCTACATTATCCGTTCCATATACTTTGTTTTTCAAAATCCAGTAGGAGGTTGTTGAAGTGCTACTATGAACTCACCTGTTATTCTACTCAAATTTCCCAAATCGGCTCCTGCAAAAGCAGCAATGTGTGCACCCAAACTGAAGCCGATGAGATGAGTTTTCTTCAAGGATAAGCCGTTTTTCTCAACCAAACCTCTGAGGAGTAGAGACAGTTGTTTGCCCACTAATCTGGTGTTGGCTGAAGCTTTCACATAGTTTGGAAGTGTGGCCCCATCACTCCAATCGACGCATATGATATTCACTTCTTCCTGAATGAAATAAATAATAATTAGACTAACGAGTTTATAATGGATCCGAAAAATGCTGAAGCGTTAATTACACTGAACTAATCTCGCTGAAATTTTAATTTAATTAGGTTAAAAGTAATATCCGAAACTTCAATTTCCTAGAAGATTTTTCCATTTTAAGTTACGAGAGGGTGGACAGATGGTTCGAGAATGTGTACGCCTAACATGCCTGCAAACAAAGGATTGCGACTAATTATTGTGCACCGCGGAGGAAGTAAAGGATGGGTTCCGAATTCTTTGAAATCATGTAAAAACTTGAGGATTGGAATATTGACTATCGTAAGAACGTGGATCCCAAATTTGGATGCGGAAAGTGTGATAGTTCTTGACAATGCTTGGGAAACAATTTGAATTTTAAAGATTATTATACCATAAACCAGCTTTTGAAAACGTGTATGTCCTTAAGAGTATTGCTGAAAAGTGTGAACTCACCATACTGAGACTTCCCCCCTATTTTTGTGTTTTCAATCCCATCGGGTTGATTTGGGGAAAATTGAAACAAAGCATCAGGGGTAAAAATAGTTTTCCAAAATTTGATAAGAAGGTAATAGAGCTGCTTAAAGAAGGAGTATCTAATATTACCGAAGAAGACTGGCAGAAAAGGATTTAAAAAATAATTTTAGTTGAAAAAGATTATATAGAGATTGGACACTCCCATATTTATGGTGGAAATAGATTCATTATTGATTTAAATGACGACAGTGATAGTGAAACAGAGAATATGGAAGAGAAATTATCAGAAGCTTTCGAAGAAAGTTACTGAAGTGTTTTTGAAGCGATCAGTTGTATATATATGTAAGTAAGTAGTATTCAGAAGTATTTTATAGTTATTGTGATTCTCATATAATCAGAAATGATTGTTGAATGATAAAATTAGTTAGCTCACTAACTATATTATTAAAGGGGAGCTGTTGGAAAGTAGATTGCACTATATCGTTCCCTTGAACTATACCAAAAGCACGTTTACCTACTATTTCATTGTATATGTAAGAATTCGTGAAAAATAATTTAGTTATCTACATATAAATGGTCCAACAAACCAAAACCGGCCGTAACAAATGAAAATCGTAGTAGAAATCAGACAAAAGCTATTTTCTCTATCCTATAGAAAATAGAGTACAGTTTTAACAAACTTTCTACTGAGATTTACGTCCGTATGTAATTGCCTGTTTCTTCGTATGATGAATATACTCACAACCGCCATGAGGGCACTTCTGATTTCATACACCCAAATATAGCTGCAGTCACTCCCAAAGCCATGGATAAGCACCTTCGTATGCAGGCTGCTGTTAAAACCCTGCTTGGCCCATTCAAAGGCTTCGGTCATCTTTTCAAAGGGCACTTCTGCGGGAGGCGAACCACTCTTCCTTCTCCGTCTACCTGGGTACATCAGAAATTTCGTGTTGATCTCATCGGGTTTTGCCGGAAGGGTGTCCAGGTAGCCGAAGGGTCCCGAAGCTTCGAAGCATCCTAGGTCGGAGTAACAGACGCTCAAAATGTCTTCCCGTTTCAGTCTGAACAGAATGAAATGGAAAATTATTCATTTATCATCAAAAATAGTGCATGTTCATAAAAGAAGACTCTAGAAATGAGTTTTCATTCATCTTCTCCATTCAAAAAACCTAACATTGATACGGTAAGCATTACTGATTACCCTGTATATTAAAAGATTCTTCAGTAAAACACAATGCGCTGATATATGAAACATTTATTGGAAACATTTTTCGATGACTACTCATTCACCCCAAACTTCTAATGTGACACACGCTGTATCAAAAACTTACTTTATCTTTGCCATATTCGTAAACCATTATACATTTTTTTTCAATTCATTGTGCTAATGTTGAATTTTGAGTGAGTTCAAAACATGAAGATATTACAATTTTTTGCATAAATGATACCTACTCGTTAAGTTAGCAAGCACTTGTTTCGAACAAAAGGTTTTCACATGAAAAATTGGTTTCTTGTGTGAAATTTGTGCGCAATGTAGGAAAATTGAATAATTTTCACGACATAATACTCAGATTCAGCCTATAATCTCCACTTTTTTTTCTAATCAAAGGTTTGGGCAGAAGGGCCGCCTATCATAGGTTATTTGAATTAAAATAGCTAATCAGTATATGATTTACATTTTTTTGATAAATTCAACAATGATGCGATTTATCAACAAAGAGATAACGTAGAACTACAGAATACACGAAATTTTGAAGGTGAGCTAGAAATATGTTCAAACAACAATTTTCAATGAAACTAAAATTTGGAAAAGTATTTTTCCAACAAAGTTTAGATGAAAATTGTTGAAAACTGAAAGGAAAATTCGCACTACAAATGTGTTAAAATGGATTATTTGATATTCCCGAGTTCTGGATTCGAACCTTCTCAACTTTTACTAGTGATGGTACACAACATGAATCATAAATGTGGTCAACACGAGAATCTTTCCTCACAGAGACGTCACCAGAAAACTCATTCACGAATATTTATGACAAACGAGGATCCCAAAGGCTTTTCGTCGAAACCCTTCCTTCATTAGTAGAACGACATTTACACTTCTAGGTCCTAAGTGAAAATAAGCACAATGTAAAAATCCTCATTTGGCAGCTGTTTGAGAAACGTGATTTGTCCATTTCTTTCATGTCTGCAGAAAAAACTAACACTCTCATTTGCTCATTGTGTTTTTCTCCTCCAAGTTTGTACTGTTCCTTTGTTGGATGTTAGTCATATTCTTTTCAACATAATTTGGATTCGAAAAAAGCATTTTTATTACACCAGAACAACGATAGTGTCTCTCAACGCGTATTTATATAACCAAGCTAGAATCATCAGCGTTATCGTTATGAAATATAACGAGATCCATAGGGACAGTCGGGCTTTGTGTGAAACTTTTTCCAAGTGAGCGTTCCAGGTGACTTTTTGATCAAGGACAATGCCAAGATATTCCAACTCCATTCCATTGAGGCAAAATGGCGTTGGATCGTCCAATTGGATTCCTCCTCGGTGAAGGGGATCTTAATTTAACAAAACTTGGTAATAGGAGGTTTTTGAGGTGTCGAATTTGAACCTGATGTTCTCGTTGCTCTTACTCGTAGGGAGCGCCACCTACACGTCTTTTTTTTTTTTAAAGATTCATAACTTTTTTGGGCGTACTTCTATCACATTTTTCAGTAAAGAAATCGATTCCTCTATCATATCTACGTAAATAAGCTACCCTTGTTACTAGTCGCTGTAAGCAACCGTTTTCTAAATATTTGGACTTGAAAACTTCAAGTAGATTATTTGATAATCGATGCATGTTGAAGTTATTACGAATATTTTGCTTTTTTCACAAG